GATGAATCTCTTTGCCCTTGCTTCTCTTACGAGGTGATTTACAAATTCTCACAATATTGCCGATAAGCACTAAGTTGCCGGTGTAACTTAAGGTCAGTGAGGAAGACGGGGAGTGATGAAGCTGCATGCACGGTGTTTCCCGCGAAGTCTCCCACCTACGAGACGTAGCAAGACAGCGGGGTCGCGTTCCCCATAACAGCTCTGGATCAAATTCCTCCAGATCCCTGACAAGCCAGACTCCCCCTCCCACTGGGGGCTGCACTCGCCGGTGTGCCTGATGCACGTCAGCTGTACAACTGTGCAATAAACCTTTTTCCTATTCACCATAAAAAAAGTAACTGTAGACATGCTTTAAACATCTCCGGTTTTATTGTGCACGATTTTAAGGATAAATTATAAAATATACACAGTATGCAGTTGATTTTCTCCTGAGTTTAAGAATTCCCCATAATCCGACTCAGCCGCTGGAGTAATGATGGAGCCCTTTCACATGGTGACTGAGATTGCGTGCTCCGGATCTGAAGCAGCTAATCTCTCTTCCAGCAGTTATATTTATATGGGAAAACGGCGTGCTAATTTTAGCTACATGCCCGGTTTTCAGATCCGGGTGGGGGGGTGCAATCGCTTTGATAGTGCAGGACGTGGTGAAGCTGCAGATTTCGTAAATGGATCCAAAAAAAGAAATGTCCCCAGGTGGAACTTAGACATCAGATCCGGTCGACATATTATTTTCAAGCCAGGGTAGAAATATATGCCCTTTTAAAGACGGATTCGCGGTGCATTTGCCGTGAAATGTGCAATTGGCATAACATTCCAATCAAGTATTTGAGGTGGCAATTAATAGTGTATTAATAGTGTGTTTACATGGCGAGATACCATGAGAAGGTCTTGTTTCCCCCGTGTATCAGTTGCCTACGTGGACGCATTTTCAATCTGCAGCTTGAGGGACGTTGAGAATTGTCTCCATTCCTGACAAGAAAAAAAGGTTTTTAATCCAATTAAAGACCCAATTATAGGGAAAAGAGACGAATGTGATATGGGCTGGAGAAAGACTTTGATTCATGTGGCCTGTACTACGAAGCAGGGTTACTGGCTTATCGGGGTAACTTGTCGGATTTAAGGTACCACAGTTTAAATGGACTTCATATTCGTTCACTTACATTTTGCCCAGACTACCTTGAATCCGACAAGTTACCCCGATAAGCCAGTGACCCCGCTTCGTAGTACAGGCCACTGTTCTAGTGTAAGTACTCGTTGATGGACCACGGCCTGCATGCTGCCAGAAGACAGCGGCTTTTTCGCAAAACTCAGGCAATAAACAAGTTAAAAATTAGCGCCAACCCTAGAACTGTGGTACCCACTGACATGATAAATTTACATTAAAAAATTAGGTAACAGCGTAAACCTCAGATGGTGTGTTCTGTTACAGGTCAGTAATTTTGGCAGTGGTCATTATGGGTCTGTATAAAATCGTTTCTTCCTTCTTGAAATGAACACAGAATTAATGTTTGCGAAGGGGTTTCCTATCGGAACCTCAAACTGACAATATAAGTACTCTAATAAACTCTAAGAAATACCAAGCTCGTTTCCAATTAAATATCAGCTGGAGGATCTGTTTGTAAACAGCAATTTAATGACGAATTAGTCAACAATTGGGAGAGGCGATCCATGGTCTTAATTAACAAGATCGTAGGGGAAACGGATAATTTTTAACCGCGTCTTTGACAACCGAAAGACCATGTTGTGACCGTGCTGTTGATATCAAGACGCCATTCACCATGACAGCGCGACCAGACAGGACGACATGAAATGGAACACCTTAAGCTCCAGAATAACTTCATCTATATGACCTTTATTCTGTCATCCACCTGCCACGGCATTCCTTAACCTCGATTTCTATATAAAAAACAACACGATTGACGGCTGCGAGTTATTTCTGCAACACAGATATCATAAACTTGTTTGTGCCCCTCCATTTATCAGTGGTTAAAAAATCACTTCATCAAATGAGTTTACTGTAAACGAGCCGTGAAAGTGTATCTCTGGCGCCACCTAGAGAGGACGCTGATCTGTTCGGCACCTCTACGCGCAACTACCGCAAATGAAACGTAAATATAAGCATAGCAAAATCATTTATCGGTGTATCGGTGTTTAATCGGTGAATTTTTTTTTTTATATTTGCAAATCACATTGTAGGTCACAAAAAATGTTTTGCTGAGGTGAGTAATACATTTTCGCATTCTTTTAAAATGATTTCAGTTCTGTTTTGGAGTTTGCACGCCCTTGCATGTGTTGCATGGTTTTTCGCATGTACTGGAGTTTTCTCTCGTAATCCACAAACGTGCAGTTAAGTTTGCTGGTGTTTTAAAAATGCCCATAATGCGTGTGACCGGAGTAAAGTTGACACAGAGTTCGGTATTCTTTGAGGATTCTGTCCATATATTTGCTCCACTAAAACATGAGTTAAAATACCCAAGACGTTCACGAAATATTTTATGCATGTATTTCGAACCTAATGTCACCTTCGTATCATTATGTATATAATGTATATGTGCCCTGTAATGGACTGGCATCCCGTCCAGTGTGTACCAGTACCCTGTGCCATAGGCTGCCTGGAATTAGACCCAGCTTCCCCGCTACTATAACCAGGACAAAGAATGAATGCTCCCCAAAGGATACGTCCCTCGTTCATCAACTAGAAACGTTACTGTTGTAATTTATGAGTGTGCGCCGCTTCCCAATCCGGCGCGCATATGCTACTTTGTTCAGAATCCCTGGAGCCAGTTTAGTGTCCATGTAAAGGACATTTCGCTGCGCTTTTTTGGCGCTGGGTGAATGGGTCGCGCGCTTAGTTAATCGGCTTCGTGGTGCTATGAACAATGGCATCAGATCGTCTATTCATTGCTTCTCGCACAGTGAAACTGCTGAGGTAAGTTAGAGGAACTGCGGGCATTATTGTTATGCATTTATTATAGCCTACGTTTGCACAGGGACGTCGCTGGGACATGGACGCCCTGGCAGATTAAAGGGGCCCAGCCCTTTATAGGGGCCCCCGAATACGGAATATTTAAAGAGGCAGTAAATTCACCCCAGTTAAACATGGGAATCTTCCTGCACGCAGAATCTGAGGAGCATATATACGTTGAAAGTATTTCAATTAAGTGGACTTCCTCGTTGGCCAGGCGTTGATAAAATAAAAAAATCCGAACAAGCAAAACATTCAGTTCAGACCAAGGGTGTAAAGGGGTTGAGGCCCTCTACCCACTGAGCCACACGCTCAGGGGGACAGGGACATGCAAAAGGGCTGTTTCATATGGATTTTTAATAATAAAAATTGAAACTTTATTAATCCCCATGGGGAAATTGTCTTTACACCGCCCTCAACTTGCCCTTTGTAGAGTAAGTTGTCCAGGAAGGGCAGCCACCCATAGCAGTGCCCAGGAAGCTGGGGGTTAAGGGCCTTGATCAAGGACCCACCGATGTATTGAGGCTGGGTTTGAACTGGCAACCTTCCGATTATAGGCACACAGGCTTAGACCACTGAGCCACACACTGTTTTTAAGAGAATATATCGAATATTGAAATAGAGAAATATTGAAATTTGAATTTTTGTATTTTACACCCATGATTCAGGTGGCAAAATATTGAGAAAAACAAATAAAAGTCAAAAATAACATTGCAAACAAAATTATATATGAAATATGTAAGAAGTAGAATGAAAAATAAAGATCGTACCATGAAATTACAGCAGTTTCAATTGAAAACAAGGATTGCAGGTTCAATGGTCTATGTTTAAGTCTTCATTCCATTTAAAGGAAGAAATTAGAATCTTTATTATCATTGTACAAGTACAACGAAATTGGTTATATGAAATTGGTTATATGGTTATTAGCTAATATATACTGTCATTATGAATAACGTCTGTGTCCAGACAGTCTGGGAGCTGGGAGGGAAAATGATTATATTTGGAGATTTTGCTGGTTTAGCTGTAAACCAGACGAACTATTTGATGTCCAGTTTTCGTACTTGTGCAATCATTTTTACAAATTCATCATTCCCAACAGAAATTTACCAATTTATGCCTCTTTTGAGATTGTCAGAATAATCAGCAGTGAATCAATGAAGTACTTCAAATTAAAACTTATAATCTGGGTTGGCAACTAAAATCACATCACATAGTTTTATTAATGCGGGGAATAAGACACAATGTGTCTCTGTGTCACAGTTCAAACTGTATAAAATGACTATTTCTGCTTATTTTGGTCTCTGTATCGTTTGTACTGTCATTATGAATAACGTCTAGGTCCAGACAGTCTGGGAGCTTGGAGGGAGCAAAAATGTGAACTGTCTGAGTCCCAGAGCACTGGGTTGGGAAACACTAGTATCGCATACCGTAAAGCTTGTTCATTGCCATTTGTGTGATATAATTATTATTTTATATTAATTACATTATACGTTATACATGTATGTGGTTTTCATTTGACCATTTTTTCAGAAATATAATTTTAGTTTTTGAATTGGCTTTTTAATTTGTTTTTAACGTTGTTCTGATTTTTCCTTCTGGGCCACCGTAGTTACTACGCCGATATCTTTTCTGTGTTGTTCTGATGACACAATATGACCACTAGGCGGAGTCTTGAAATTCGGATTTAAAGTAGCGGTAAAAACAGCCAACTAAGACATAGGACGGGCATTAGTAGGCCTATCAATCAATCAATCAATCAATCGATCGATTCATTCCAAACCAACAAAACATAAGATTAAAACAATTACTGTTCTTTTTTTCCTGCAGGTCTGATCAGTGTAGGCCTATGTGTTTTACAGATGGCAGTAAACTTTGTCTCTGGTTCATATTTTTTTTTTTACAGCTTAATGGTTTATTAGATTTAAAAACAATATAGCATTTGAATATATAAATACGAGTTATGCAGAATACATTCATAGCAAAAAAAAACTTTGTCTGTGGGTCTATGGTGGGTGTGGTAACTCAAATAGGATAATTTGACTTTACTCAGTACGCCACATTGTGTCTTATTCCCCGCATTTAAAAACCGTTTGCACTGCACCAAAATACAGCAAAAATATATATTTTTAATTTATTTAATCCAAATGTATAATATTACTTTTTATTAATCATCAACATGACAAGAAGGTTCAACAGGAAATCCAGAACTGTAAACGAACACAGAACGATCGAATGGCGGTTCATAAAATTCCCCCTCCTGCAATCGCAACAGGTAAACACACGGATAACATGGTCAAGATTAATTGGGAAATTACGGAAATTTCATCGCATTAGTCCTATATTACATTAAATTGCCTTTAATACTCAGAGACAATACAAGTCCTCAGTTAAAAAGAAAAACATTTCAGCTATCTTCATTACAAAAGTTCGTCTATCAAACAACTTGGAAAAATACGTATTACAGGTACTTAATACAAAACCTTACACTGGTTTTAAAGTCAGATAAATATAAGCAAAATTGTTAATCTGTGACAATTCGGTTTGACTCCGAGTTTTAAGTGCTTCAACAATTTATCGTAAGGACAGAAATCAGACCACATAAAGATTTGATGGATATGATAAATAAAGGTTTTAAACGGATATTTCAAACTGTCTACCACGGCAGACAGTAGCGACAGAAATAAAACTCCAGTAACAGCCTAGAAGAAAACTCATGGTTCATTTCATACAAATGGGCTACTCCTCTTATGAAAACAACAAATACAGCAGTAAACTTACAGTCGGAGCGAAACCTGTTGCGGCTTAGCATAAAATGAAAGGCAAACTGAAATTCAGCTAAGAAAATCAATTAAGGCGATGCAATACAGTGCATCCAGGTCGTAATTATATTTCTTCAGCAGGAACCATTTTGTTCAATGTACATCCTGGACAAAGAGGCTGCCATTGACTTGGCAAGTTCCTCATCCCGTCTCCTCTGGACATGAGTCTGTCGGCACCAGCTCTCGTACTCCGGGTTCGGCAAGCATCTGTCAAACAGGGCGTCGTAGTGACCATTACTCAGCCAACTCAGCCAAATCGTGGGCTTGGAAGCGTCTTCTTCGCCAAGGTAGTGCACCATGGTGGACACCGTGGGACTTTCTAAACTGCCCCCCGTGGTCAGGTGTATGTTGACATGCAGCATCTGACTCATGGCCAGCAGCTCTGGGTATCCAGCCCAGACCCCGTCCTGCGCAGCGTTTATCAGAAACTCCCCAATGTCTCCTTCGATTATGGGGTTAAACGCCTCCAGGTGATCGGCTATGTGGTGCATAGTCTCCTCCCGCAGCTCCCTGTGCATGGACTGGTTGCCAAAAACTGCTTTGCAGACCGCCCTGTACAGGCAGTTGCCGTCAGGGATTATGTGGAACCGGTATTTCTGTCTGTCTTTAAGGTACTGGTTCTGACGCTCCACTTCGGACAGGTAGTTCGGCTCCCGATCCCTCGCTTCCAGCTCGCCTTCCACGGCACTTTCGGGATCGTTTGAAAGAGGCGCTCCAGCGGACGCCGCGTCCTCCTCCCTGATTGGCCGTGTGATCTGGACGGTTCTTGTACCCCTTCTGGGATCCAGTCCATGTCCCAAGTGTTCGAGACGATCTTGAGTGACTCCTATCCCAGGGGGCGCCCTTTCCCCGGTTTCGCTGTCCAATGTCCCCACACCAGCACCGTTTCTGCACGGCATCGCAGCCGACGTCTTGTCCATGTTAATCAGGTTGTTCTCCAGCACTTTGCGGTACTCGTCCAGCGCGTCCACCCCGCCCTCCATCTCACCCATGAAGTTCTCGATCAGCTGGCTGTCCGACACATACGGGCCCTTCATGTCGACAAGTGACGGCTGTGCGCGTTGTAATTGTGCGGAAGACGAAAGTTTGTTTCTCGGACCCACAATAACGTGGATAGGAACGGAGCGCTCGACTCCATTGGGGCGAGTTACGAGGATCTCGGCAGTTGAAGTGTAGTGGGCTGGTTTGCTGGGTACTGCTTCGTAGCAGGAATGATCGGGCATGTTTTCAACAGCTACACTCCCTCCTGTCTGATCTTCCGTACGCCTGATGCCACCTCGGCCGTCAGTCCTGGTGATCACGGAGACGCTGGTGACCGTACTCCTAGGCACCTGATCTGTGACACTTGAAATGGGGATCGAAACTTTGCAGGAAGAGCCAGGGTAATGTATCAATGCACTGCTGTACAGCTGCATCTCCAGAGCCGTTCCTTTTATATGAAAGCAGCGAGGCTACAATGCGAAATGATGAAAACGCGCAGAAATACACACGTCCATCGACAAACGCAGATGCCCCAAAGAGCCGCCACTAAGTCAGACTCTAATTCCCGCTGATACACGGTGAAGATCCAACATTAGCCATCTTGCGTCAGCGTCGAGTTCCCCCTAATTATAGCGCTGGGAATGTAATCGGAGCCTCTCCTTTAGGATCCCCGTCCAGGGTAGAACCTCCGGCGCATATCCCAGTGCACAGTACCGGAGAGAAGCTATTCAATGCGTCACAACGCGCTTACGGTTCATGAAAACAAAGCAGGCGAAAGGGACACAGACATCCAGAAACTCGCCAAATCTCGGCGATCTAATTACGCTTCAGATAGAAACCAAACGAGGAAACTACACTGGCCCTTAGGATTAAGGAAGTCCCGCCTTTGAACCGACATTATTGGTCTTAATATTTCTGGTTGGCAAGAGTAAAAACTAAAATGTCCCAGAAGATTGATCTTTAAAGAATCGCAGAGTATTCCTCCTTGGCAAGCAGTACCACTGGCTGCAATTACACAAGGAAAACCACACTCTGCTTTCATACTACTTCATAGTACGAATCAAGTGGTGAGCGAATGAATAGGATCACATGCGGCACAGAATCTGGTAATGAATTCTGAACAGGGGAAAAGGAAAGTAAAAAAACTCGGCAGAAGCGCTCCACTTACACCCATATATGGAAGTCCAGCTCTCTCTAAATTCCACATCATTAACTAAATTTTCCAAGGGAATTACTTGCTGTTTCATACCATCTGGGATACAGAACCGTTACTGAGGCGGAATGTTTCCGGAAACCGCACAACCCGTAGTTATATGTTCTGTTAAAATTACTCAATGCTTTAGTGAAGGGGAATTCGTTACAGGGAAACTCACGTAATATAGCTAACTCATACGCTCTGGCGTAACAACAACAATAATAATAATAATAATAACGAAGAAGAATGACAGGGAAGAATGACTTTTTATCTTTATTATGAACTGTCATTAGTTGTTGAGACGAATGGGCACATCTGGTAGACCGGGAGAAAATGTTTAGGGGAAGGTCGGCGACTCGGGGATGGAGAAGCGTTTGCGCAGGGCAGAGGTGCTTAACCGGCGCTGGGAGTGTGATGCGTTCTGCCTGGGTGGCGTGCATTTCACTGAGCACTTAACGGCGGCGACTTATCACGGTGGAAAACCGCAACAACACTTTCAATCTGGAAAGATTTAATGCCTAGGACTGTACACAGACTAATGGGTTAGCTGGAATTTAAGAAAAGCAAAGCTTGCACTGCCGCAATGCCGGTGACACATGGGTGGGTGGGGGGCGAATGTTTTCTGGACCATGTGATACTGCAAACTTGGCGTCATGAAGTTAGTGATTCACGCTTAAGTGATTCGACATCCATTCTTGGCATCCCACGTCCATAAGTTAAGAATTTCCCCCAGAAATTTGGTCACACTATAGTCAAAAGGTATTTTGACTGAGGGGAAAACGCATAGGGGCACCTGTAACATTATAGATGTATTTTTAAACCCCCCAGAAGATAGGTTGATTGATAAGAATTAAGGCCTGTTGTAACTATGTTTTATAGTTATATCCCGGTTTTATATATAGATTCTATATATAAAAAAGAACGTAAAAGAAAATAAGCGAAAAAAAGAAAGGTATAATACATATTTATTGGCTAGGGGATGTTAGAAAAGGAGAGCCATAACGTGTAAGACAAGTGGCATCACACGTAGGCTACGGACAACTCGCCGGAGAGCTACAACCCTTAAAATAATCATTACACGCCTCGTTTGCACGCCGCGTAAAGGTCACATGCCTGCGGTCTCCATTTCAACCGGCGATGGGGCGATGTGTCACCTTCGACAAAGCGGGAACGGACCTGGTTTGATATCGACGTGAGTAACTTAACACGCGGTGAAACACCACTAAACACCGTCGCTAAGGACCAAAGGCGGGATGTGCCGTGTGTCATCGTACCAGGGCGATCTTCTTCGTTCTCATTTTGTTGCCCAAATATAGAAACATACGTTAGAGAAAACAGTATTCATAAGGAAAAAGACCAAGCAAGACCTCGTTTCAGTCCTATAGGCGACACAGGCGACCGCCTAGGGCGCCGTCTTCTGAGGGGCTGCAGATCCGCCAGCCAATTTCACGGCGGAGATGCTCGCCCGTCGCCTATAACACCTGTTCTGCCTCGTTTACATTTCCAGATTCACTAAAACAGAGAAAGATCTGCTTAGAAACAACGTCTGTCAACAAAATTTATTTTAAATGTGGTAAATATAATCATAAAAATCAATTTAAAATATAGTAAATCCTTATCGATAAATACACTATATTGCCAAAAATATTGGGACACCCCTCCAAATCATTGAATTCAGGTGTTCCAATCACATCCATAGCAACAGGTGTATAAAATCAGGCACCTAGGCATGCAGACTGCTTCTACAAACATTTGCAAAAGAATGGGTCGTTCTCAGGAGCTCAGTGAATTCAAGCGTGGTACCGTGATAGGATGCTACCTGTGCAATAAGTCCTTTGGTGAAATTTCCTCACTACTAAATGTTTCACGGTGAACTGTTACTGGTATTATAACAAAGTTGAAGCAACTGGGAACAACAGCAACTCAGTCACGAAGTGGTAGGCCACGTAAAATCACACAACAGGGACAATGCATGCTGAGGCGCACAGTCTGCAGAGTCGCCAACTGTCTGCAGAGTCATTAGCTACAGACCTCCAAACTTCATGTGGCCTTCAGATTAGCTCAAGAACAGTGCATAGAGAACTTAATGGAATGGGTTTCCATGGCCGAGCAGCTGTATCCAAGTCTTACATCACTAAGTGCAGTAAAAAGCATCGGATGCAGTGGTGTAAAGCACGCCACCACTGGACTCTAGAGCAGTGGAGGCATGTTCTCTGGAGTGACGAATCACGCTTCTCTGTCTGGCAGTCTGATGGATGAGTCTAGTTTTGGTGGCTCCCAGGAGAACGGTACTTACCTGATTGCATTGTGCTAACTGTAAAGTTTGGTGGAGGGGGGATCATGGTGTGAGGGGTTGGGACTTGGCCCCGTAGTTAGAGTGAAAGGGGTTCTTAATGCTGCAGCATTCAAAGCCAATTTGGACAATTTCATGCTCCTAACTTTGTGGGAACAGTTTGGGGATGGTCCTGTTCTAACATGACTGCACACCAGTGCACAAAGCAAGGTCCATAAGGACATGGTTGAGCGAGTCTGGTGTAGAGGAACTTGACTGGCCTGCACTGAGCCCTGATCTCAACCTGATAGAACACCTCTGGGATGAATTAGAGTGGAGACTGCGAGTCAGGCCTTCTCATCCAACATCAGAGCCTGACCTCACAAATGCTCTCCTGGAAAAATGGTCAAAAAATCCCATAAACACACTCCTAAACCTTGTGGACAGCCTTCCCAGAAGAGCTGAAGCTGTTATAGCTGCAAAGGCTGGGCCAACTCCATACTAAAAACTATGTATTAAGAATGGGATGTCATTAAAGTTCATGTGTGTGTAAAGGCAGGTGTCCCAATACTTTTGGCAATATAATGTAGCCTATAACTGGTAGACATACAAGACAAATGCATCCTTTAATATGTGCATGTGTGATGAACTGAAAATATATACATTTATAACACTATGTAACACAAATTTTGTTCCTTAATAGTATGTGTTATTTCTTAACTGCTTATGTTGTAAAAGTATAGAAATGGTCATTATTCCCTTCAAATTTTGCTTTTGTGACCTGGGTAACGAAATTAACCCACATTCTTTGTAAAAACTGGCAAATTTGCACATTTTCATCTACATAAATAAAACAACATTTCAATCAAGATTTACATGTATGTAAAGTTATACAAAAACGAACAAAACTATTTAGAAGTGAGTTGTTTTTAGAAGTGTGCATATATATAATGTAAATCACTCTCACGTATCAACCCCCAAGTGCTGCCACAGAGTACTTTTTTGCTCATATCTTGATAAATTGGCCACATACATAGCAGCGGGCGTCTGGAGAATGCTTTCAGGTTCTTGATGCTGTGTCTGATAAATTCAGATAGGTCTGTGTATTCACTTAGGCACCTAGAACTAAACTGAAATGGTGAGTTGTGAGTCCCTGTATATATACATATTACTGTGGATTGTTCTAGAAAATTCTAAAAGGCCCTTTTAAAATCTGCCAAGTTCTACAACATTTTAGAAAATTCTTGAAAATTCTTGTACGTTCTAGACAATTCTCCATCAGCTACTCAACACTGTATGGGACCCCTAAAGGTACAAAAAACAAAAATGCTCTGAAACTTTGTGGTGCTCATGCGACACTGTTGAGGAATTTTTTTTTTTGTCCGTGTCCCTTTGTGGGCTCTGTGGCACGGAATTTACCTGGAATCCTCTGAAAAATGGGTACATTTGAAAATGCCATTAACCAGGTCACAAAAGCAAAGTTGGACGAGAAAAAAAAAAGTCTTTTCCATTTACTTTAGGCAGAAGCAATTGGGAAATTGGTTGGGATTAAGCGGTTACGGTGATGGGTGGTGATGGATGGATGGATATTTGAAGTACCCCAAAGCATAGAAAACATCCTACATTTCCGTTAAATGGTTTAATTTAGCCTTACAAATTCAAATTATCTAATGGACTGTCTAAAAATTCACACATTTAAGCAGAACGTTTTTGCTTGGACAATTTGCTCACATATGGTGAGTACGGTTAAAATTGGACCCCTGGCAAAATGGGACAGTTAACCTATGCAGTTAATATATGTTCTTAGTAGTACTTTATTTTATCTTCTATATGGTGTTTAGGGGCATTAATGTATTTAGCATGGTATCAAGTTCGGATTCATGACACTGAAATGATTCTGTACATATTTCCAAAAAGCAAGTCATCAAAACGTGTCCATTTTAACAATACTCACCTAACACTGAGGGAAAACGCTATTTTGCCACACTTGCCATCAGGTGAGAGGAAATTACACTAGGAAGGGATGATATGACCTATTCGGCCACTGTTCAGTTGACATGGGATATTCTGAGGTTATAGCAATAAACACAGGAATCTATATAGTGGGATTTTGGTAACTTGTTGACCGACTTTAAGAATTAACATTTACAAAGTGGGCGTAGATGACCTTCACAGTTTGGATAAACCGTCCCTGGCATTTCGCTAGCTAAGGAATCTGTCATAATTTTTAAGATAATCTTAAGTGTGCACGGTCCAGAGAACGTCAGTAGCAAAATGCCATCCGATAACAAACGAGCCTCCACAAGGGGGCAGCACTGCCAGCCACAGCTGCCAACTGATGGCTGACGCCAGATGAGAGGAATCCTACACACGATTACTGTACTTCAGCTGAAGGAATCGGGTCATGCTGTCATCTGGTACTCAGCAAACGCTGTCGCTCGGCTCTCGTTTAGTGAGCTCTCCCTATTGTTTGGGGAGCGCAAAACGGGAGTTCAAACGCCTTTACAAGTGCAGGGTCATCATCTCCGTTGTAGGAGCTATAGCCTATATTAGGCTAGATTTAAGCCATTTTACTTCCATTGGCCAAAACATTGCATACGCGCTTCCTTTTAAGTTTTATACTTTCCATTTTTATTTATTCGGGCATATATTATTACTAGTGCGACATATAAAAACAATCCTCGCTATTGAGAGCCGTACTAACGTTCATTAATGAAGTGTAAAATACGAAACCACAACGGTACTGCCATTACGTTTACAAACGCCAGGTTTATGTATAATGGTATTTAAACAGACGCAATCATTATTCGCCCTGCAGATAAATAACGGCCAAGCTTAGCAAAAGCATGGTGTTTATGTGCTTTCGAGACTTTAAACCGTGGTTACGTGTTGTACCTTTTCATTTTAATCTTAATCACATGGACGCTTTGGACATACAGTCCAAAATACCGCGTTTCCTGTGTAGCGCTCATCGTGTTACAAAATGACTCTAACGTCACTTAATGTCTCGGCGTGGCGTGGTCGATCTTGAATGAGTTATTTTTTGTTTCGATTACGATAAACCAGCGTGCCCAGAAGGCCAGACATTTCGCACACATGTCAAAACATCACCATGTTTTTGTTTTACACCCACGCAACAAACGCCTAAGCAGAGCTGGGTTTAGCAAGGGGCAGGGGAGACCGATCCGAGTTTTGCTTTTCTCAAACACTGCAGAAGCAGAATCTCTTGACATCTTTTGAGAGAAAAAAAAAAATAAAACCCTCATGGAGAAAGCGACAGTATTTCTGAACAAGCGCAAGCACGCCGCGCACCGACAATGTGCCAGCGTTCGGCATGTGACGTCAGAGGTTTCCTTTCTCTCTCGCTCCCCTTCCTTGTAAGTGGGTGGATCTTAGGCGGCCGAGCGGCGCAGCTGTCAGGGGTAGCTGTCACCCAGCTTTATGATCAAACGCACATTGAACGGGGGGGTCTGGCCGACTCAAGCTGCGGCTCCCAGCGACCTCGACCATGCGCCGCCGCGTCTAGCAGACGATCACACTCCAGCAAGATACCCTGCGCCCTCCGCCTTTATTATTCCTGCTTTCACTGGGACTGAGAAACACTATTTCTGGGGGAATATTTTTGAGAACCTTGTACGTGTCTTGTGCCTAACGTGGGAAAAAAAGGAATCCGGTCCGGGATGAAGACAAAAAAAGGTAGGAGCGAGCGCCTGGGGCAACCGAGAAGCGTGTGGCACATTTTTCCTTCGTCGATCGGCAATATTTTTTGGGGAAAGGGGGGTGAAACCGACCGTCCTGCCTTATAAACGGATACTCTCATTGTTCGGGCGTGTGTGCCATTTTTCCGCAGAGCTCAGCCTCTGTTTTCTCCCCATGCGCTGGCGGGCTGTCAAAATCCCCCGATTTCCTCCTTCACCCCTCTCGGAGATACCATGGCTTTTAAAACGCCTAAACTTCAGTCTTTACTCTTGTCTTTTCCCCTAAGTCAGCCCCGTCTGGCGCCTTTAAATACGCGTGGACTGTAATGTGAAACAGTTTTCTCCCCCAAACTTTTTTTCCTGATTATTTTAAAGTCGCATTTATGATTCAGCAATCAATTGAAAACGTCAGTCCCACCCATACAGGACGCGGGATCAAACCGCGTGGGTTTCATTGGATTTGTTTTTCATTAAATGGTACCGTTTGCTGGGAGTAACTCTGAAGTGCTCGATTGTAATTAAAATCATGGGGATTTCCCTCCACACGGCATTGATAGCTCCCAGTCCGACGCGGATGTAAATCCCCACGTCTATTTTGAACATGAGTTTCTTTAACGTTTCCCCCCCACCACCACCACCGACCGGGAAGTAAGTGTCTTTGCAGTCAGGCAGACGGACCCCCTTTGTTATGTGCGCTTGGCGTCTCTTCTCCTTCGAAACCCCCGACCTCGTGTTTCAGCAGCGCACTCCGCCGGTTTTAACGTTGTATCCTAATAAAACACGCGCTTGTGTCTCGGCCATAAAAAGAGGGAAAAACCCCTCTCAAACCACATTCTGGCTTAAAACAAAATGTCAAAGTATGCACGGTTTCTTTATTATTTAATGGATCCACGACCGACAGTCTTTTGTTTAGTCTACGGGCGCTGATTTGCAACAGGTCCTGGAAGTGCGCCCCCTCCTTGATCGAGGGCCTGCTGCACTTCTGCTTTGTGTGACTTACAGGCTGCTGTCGGGTCGGTCGGGAAAGCACGCCGTAATGGGACCTGCGAATTCCCGAGGGGGTGAAAAGCGCGTCTGGGTGCCTTTGTCAGATGGGCTCCCCACCCCACCCCCCTTATGCGGGTCTGATGTTTTGAAAAGCCACCGTGTGGGGTTTTTTCACGGGTTGCGTTACGGTTTCTGTCTGTTTTTTTTTTCCTCCAAGCCCTGTGGTCTGACGTCATTCTTCTTCAGCTGTCAGATCCTGTTTAATATAAATACATACTAACACGACACCCTTTGTGTTGTACAATACAATGCCGATATTCAGTGGAAAATAAAGAAATACATCCTCAATATATTTATCTGAATGTAATAATGTTGTTTTAGTATTTAAACCAGATACACTAAAATCAAATCTTAGTTTCTAGTTAACTTACTTTTATACGTGTTTTTTGTTTTTCTTTTGTTTTTTTGGGGCGGGGTGTAAACGTTAAACCAGCGACTTCACTTCTTCTCACGGTGATAAATTGATCAAATTTGATTTTATAGAAATGTATCAACTTCTTCAGTCGGTTCAAAGGCGCCGCGGTCGAGCGTCGGCTCACAGGGGAGGGAGCGCTCGCTGTTTATACGGGATTAACCGCGCTGCTGACAGCCTGCGCCTGCGCCTCAGCAGCTCGTTAATCATCGCACACCTGGACTTTGCTAAACTCTAACGGCAGAAATCACACCAATGTAAGATGTAGCTGCTTAGATTTTTGTTTACTGTGTGCAGTTTGTACAGTTGTTGTTATAATGGCGTGGCAATTGTTCTGTATGAGTTGATTGGGAATTTTTTACAAAATAAACTTGGCCGGGTGGCTCTCAGCTCACAGCTCCCTGACAGGTACTTCCTGACCTCTTCTCTGCTCTCTAAATCCTAATTCTCACGCCACACCTCCCCCCTGGTTTTTTGCCCCGCTCACAGTGGTGGTGCCGTCCGGCAGCGAGACGGAGGACGAGGACAGCCTGGACGCACCCTTGGACCTGTCGGCCAGCGGGGGCAGTAGCAAGCGGCGTCGCCGCGGCAACCTGCCTAAGGAATCCGTGCAGATCCTGCGCGACTGGCTGTACGAGCACCGTTACAACGCGTACCCCTCCGAGCAGGAGAAGGCCGTCCTCTCCAGGCAGACCCACCTCTCCACGCTACAGGTCAGACTCCGCCTTGGCGAACCCCCCCCCCCCCCCACCCCCCCACACACACAACTGACCTCTCGCGTTTGTGTGCTTAGTCTTCCTGAACAGATAGCAGACACTCTTGTTGGAATCGTGTAGCACAGGGTGGAGTTCGCTACTTGTTTGCTGGGAGAGGGGGCAAGTGGGGACAGGGATAGTGAGTCTTATAAAGCCCCCTGGTTGTCCGTCAAACACGTTTCATTCCATGTAATGCGATGGAGTTTTTGGCCATGATTTCCCACCTGGTTTATTATTATTATTATTACCATGAGGGGGCAGCTGGTTACCACTCGGGGCTTCAAATATAGCTCTTTGCACGTCTAACAACGTGTAACCCAGACTGCTCCTATGCCTCACCATTTCCACGCCAACACACTTGTGCACGAGGTCAGGTGACATACCAACATGTTGCGGACTGACCTTTTGTGGAGGAGAGGGGGCTGCCGTCATCTGGCAGGCCCTCGAACGAGGAACAGGATGTATTTGTGGAAGCGATACTTTCTTGGGGAAGAGAGATGTTGCATACGAACTTTCTTTGATTAAAGGTCTTTGATGCATGGTTGTAGCAGGGGCAAGGTAATGCTTGGCTAACACTACTAATTAAAGCACCTTATACACCTGTAAACATTTCTCGAAGGGGATGTACCTTGATGGACAATTAAGGCTCGAGCTCCTAAGCTTACCCGCCGCTGCCCCCTGCTGGCCGACTGAGCTTCTCCTCCATCTTGTCGTTGGATGCTGTAGGTGTGTAACTGGTTCATTAACGCCCGCCGGCGATTGCTCCCGGAGATGTTGCGGAAGGACGGCAAAGACCCCAACCAGTTCACCATATCCCGGAGGGGGAGTAAGAGCGGGGAGGGGGCCACTGCAGAGAGCTCCCTCTCTTCCAGGCCCGTCGCCATGGAGATGGAGGACCGAGGTCCACATCACTTATCTGGCTCCGAAACCAGCGCCCGTCAGAAGCCCCTGTCGCCGGGGTCTGTGCCACCCAGGCCATCGGTCATCTGTCACACCACCATCACTGCACCTCCACGCCTTACAGACGAGGGGACAGATCTGCCGTCCCCAGCAGCCGGCCAGGGGGCCCCTGCGGAGCGCAATGCCAGTCCCCAGGGGGGGTTCTTTAACACCCCTCCCCCGACGCCGCCGGATCTCAGCCAGGATTTCAGCGGCTTCCAGCTCCTGGTGGATGTGGCCCTCAAAATGCGGGCGGAACTGCAACAGGCCAAGTGAGCCTAAGTGCCTGATCCGGGTACCGGGGCGATGCCGGGAGACTGACCGCAAACACACCAGCATCACCGTCACCAAAAAAAGGAAAAAAACCACAGAAGCCTGTTCATTTCTATTTTTTGATACGACGACGATAAGGATTTTCTTTAAGAAAAAATCTACAGTTTGGTGCCTTGCCTGACGTTTTTTTAATCTTTATTTTGTATATGTATATGTAATTTGTATCTTTTTGCACACAGAGGACCAAAAATAGACATGAGAGAGTCTTGTGAAACTCTTTCTGTTTCCAAGAAAGGAAGCCACGTTTTTTTCTACTGACTTTGCTCCTTCCTTCGTAAACTAACTTTCTTTGGACTTATTTGCCGAGGAGTGCGGTCCCATCGTGTTCTGCCCTCCCACAGAGGAAATCGACGTCTCCGCTTCTCAGAGACGTCCAGCTGTTCTGCGACATGCCTCATCACTACTGTAGCTGTTTATTTTTTGCCTTTATTTAGCAGACAGTAAGTGGTTACCTCCCACATCCTTCCCTCAGTCAGGTGGTTCGTGTAGCAGCAGTTCCATGCTTTGTCTGAGTTGTCATGGCGCTTAGCAACAGCCAATGACTGTGCCAAGGTGAAGCCCTGCCCCCTCACTGAATAAGTCCAATAAGAGGCACCTGTGCGGTGAACTGGAAAAGCAAACACTAATTTCATTGGTTAAAATGATATGTTGTGGCTTCATATTGCCACCAAAAATGTATTGAATTATGAAATGGACCCTGTGTATAACATGTGATTTCCTGTCTTCATACTGTGCAATGTCCATGACAAATATGGGTCACTCGATTGTTCAAATAAAGTTTTGTTTTCTACAAACACCGCTGTTCAGCGCACGTCTCTCTCTCATAATCCACTAACTCCGCCCCGGCTTTAATTTCAGCAAACCTCCTCCCACCTCATCCTCACCGCTGACCATATAGGCCAGTATCCATCCATCTTCCGTTACTGCTTACCCAGTACAGCAGCGGTGAGCCTTAGCCTATCCAGGCCTTTGGGGTAAGAACACTCTGGATGCGATGCCAGTCTATCGCAGGGCAAACAGTCATTATACACAATTTAGACACCAGTCATGTAACCGCATATCTTTGGACCGAAGGAGGAAACCTTAGTACCTAAAGGAAACCGGTCTGAACAGGGACAGACATGCAGCCACATTGCTGCATTCGGAGCCACCGTCTCATATGTTAGGAGCACCAAAGGCCTACATTCATATTTCCAAATTGGATTCAAGATTTTATCCAAAGCGATCCAAAGTTTTACAGCCGGCTCTTTTACAAGAGTGATTCAGGTTCTATATTCTACTGAGTTGTCTAGAACCATAAACTTTCAGGCTGAATCCGTGACCACAGAACCACAATTCTGGCTGTATATAGCATTTTATATGCACACTCACCCTCGGAAGCAGCTGTTGCTTATTGCTTGTACCAGGTTATGCAGAAAGACCCAAACATCCTATCAGAAATAGCCTTGATCTCCGTTTCTGAAGCGTCTCCTTTTTGAATAGCGTGAATTAAAATGAGCACACTCTCCGCTCTCCGGAATACACCCCCCCCCCCTCCACCCCCACCCCCATACTGGAAGATTTCCTGAATCTGCTCAAAGAGTGTGCCAGCCTTTCCCAGGAAGCACGGGGATGAGTACGTGGTGGACGGGATGCCAGAATCACATGCAGTATAACGTGTCTTTATGGTTATTTATGGGAGGAGATCCCATGTACACTGGGAACCATAACGGCATATGGAAAGTTAAGTATGAACTGGCCCTAACCCCACACATACAGAGCAGGGCCAGAAATCTAACACACAACCCAAGAGGTGTAAGACCACCAAATTGCACACTGTGTCACCATGCCCCGTAATCAGGGGCGGATTAACGCACAGGCTAGATATGGCTTAAGCCTAGGGGCCCCACGTGTGCCAGCCTGCAAGGGGGCCCCCATTGGTGCGGAGCGGGGCTGGGTTGGGGGGCCCACAGACTACTGTAGCCTAGGGGCCTCTGTACACCTTAATCCGCCCCTGCCCGTAATCAATGCAAAGTGTTTTCAGGGTTGGATTAATGATCTAATGATGCATTCTGCGGGGCTATTGGAAAAGGTCATTATTATCCAATGCAGTTCGGAGCCTTGAAACTTTAGAACTTTTCATCGTGAGATGTAAGCCTGTCACACTTTTACCACAACGCAAGATGTGTATGTGTTTAAACATTTTATTTATTTTTACACTGAGAAACATTTATATATTTACAAATATTGTTTTTAAATGTGTTTTATCTGCTTATACACAAACTATTTTCATAAAATCCCCTCGATTGTCACAAAATCCTTGTTTTGCCAATGCTTCGCTTCCCCGATCATCTCCTGTTGCTACGAAACGAATTAATTCAAATCTCACCTACGGCTTGATTCTAAAACATGAAGGAAAATAAACTGTAAATAGAAGAGAAATACTCCACATGATATTTTTATTCAGTTTGCAGCTGTTCTAAACTACCAAGGAAACCAGTGATAATCTTTGAAGTCATGATTATTTCCTTATTTTAAAACACACAGAAACCATAAGGTGGTTGTTTACATTCGGCAAAGGTGTGTAATAAGTTATTCATCTGTTCTCCAAACGTGTAGCATTAACTTTTTTTCAACCCTACTAGCTCGCTAAGCTATGAACAGGAGACAGGACGGTAATCAGGGGTATTACAGTGTCTCTCTGTGTATTATGGGGTACAGAGGAAGGCAGAAATGACCGGGTAATCTGCCAGCGTGGCCCTTCCGATATAAATCGAGGGATCCCACTTTATAAAAACCCCGGTATTAATTCTAATCATATATACATGCACACACTCCATGAGGGGCTGCGTGTAAATACAACGGAGGGGAAAGAGTGGAAACAACTTTATAAAAGACGGTGCATTTTAATCAAGCCAGTTACTGATTCCTGTGAATTGCTTAGTTATGTACACATGTAGTGCCATTAATCCCTCACGTTACATCCTCTTGGCCCTGAGACTGATTTGTGCTCAACAATCGCATTAGAAATTAAGGCTGATTACAGTGGGGTAAAGAGAGATAAACATACGGGCAGTATGTAGGATTCTGACGTTTTTTTTAACGCAGATAAAGCAGCGAGCAGGCGGCTCCAAGAAGAGTGGAGGCGGCATCTGCAGCAGATTAAATGTCGGTAGTGTCGCCGAAACAGGTGCACGGTCGGGATATGTCGTGGTCACAGCATAATCCAGAAAATTGCATGCAGCCCGAAGACGGAACACCGGTAACGACCATCAGGTGTAAGCGATTTACACTTGAAAAGTCGGGTTCGCGCCTACGTTATGGGAACAGCTAAAACACTCGCATCATCACCTGTAGATTTACATGTCCTCCCGCTTTGTATCAAATCTACTGCTGTGGAGCTCAACCTTTCTCGGAAAATGAATGGAAATGTATTTTTTTAATCATTCGGCGTCATGGATTCCGAAGACCGGGAATGTCACAGTGATGCTGGGACCGGACCTTGACCGCACCCATGTAAAATCTACAGGGAGCAGAGGTTTTATGTACAGTAGGTTATGTGTATATGGAGTCCAAAACAGTGGTTTTCAGTGTAATCCGACGACTCCCCTACCTCAAAATCTGTATCATGTATTCGTATTCGTTTGCTTGTTTATTTTGCAACGTGGTTCACTTTGTAAGCTTTATTTTAGCCAACTCATTTTAATAAATGTATCCAGACCAAATATTTACATAGCGATAAATATTCATATACATATATTTAAAATGATTTTATATTTATATATATAGTATCCTACACTCAACATAAAAACAGCCCATGGTAATAATGAGCAAAGTTAAAACGGTAAAAAAATGAATAATAATAATAATAATAATAATAAAAAAAAAAGATTCTGATCTACTTTTATAAAGAATGTCTTTATGATTTCTCCTGCCACCTTGCATTTCTTACACGCACATGGATAGCGGTGTGGATGGTGTACTATTTTACAGGATGCGAATGAGGTTCGTTCATTATTTCTGAAGACAGGCTGACTCGGGTCTGCAAAATTAGGAAGCACTTTGACTGTGGCGATAAATTAGTGCCAAAACTCGCGCGCACGAAAACCACGCGCGCGCATGCGCTCGCCAGCAGAAAATCCATGCTCTCTACGCGCTCGCGTTTGCACAGCACTCGCTCGCTCGCTCGGCGTTAAATTAGTGCCAAAAGTCGAACCACGCGCTCGTGTGCGCTCGCGAGCTAAAAACCCACTCTCTCTACGCGCTCGCCTTCGCTGGACCCTGTCTACGCGCTCGCGTCTGCACAGCACTCGCTCGCTGGATAGGATGAATTGTGACACTTTGGAGGCCGGAACTGTGGCTAATATCTCCGCTCCTTTGATTGTTTTTTTTAAATTATTGACTACGATTGGCTATTTGCTTTGGTAGAAAAGATGAAGAAAACTTGTCTCTGACCGCGGTTAAGTTAGCCTCATATTCTATATTCAGTCTTATGGCTTTAATAACTTTTAACGGAAAGTGGGGCGTTTTTAATGACAGAATCGTGATGTCCAGTACATAGACAACGATGCACACCGATTATTTTTGCGCTTCAAATCATTTCGTGATTTGTGCAAAATCGTGTTAATAGCTAATATTATATGTTCTTTCGGCTGTAATGACATGGTGGTTTAGCATTTTGGGTTCATGGCGACTGTTGCACACCCCTTTGTTTCCCATATTACTTTACATACGAATTTTAATTAATTTCTTAATGTTCGAATGTATCCGTATAATGTGCAATGGGACAATACATGAATGGGTTAGTAACTTTAAAACTAGACAATACAGACACATCTAGTGGAGTGTGCTATGATTAGTGGACTACAGGGAACAATGCATATCCCTTGGATTTTCAGATTATTTTTGTCTGTAATAGTTATTATTATATTGCATCCACTTAAAGTGCAATGGGGCAGATCACTTTAAATGTGACGAAACACGTAATCAAACAATTCAACTGCGGTACATTTGCTTTGTCCCACGGTGAACTGCCCAAATCATACTTTACAACCTATTTATGGATGAGTTTGAATGAAATGAAGCAATGGCATGTACAGTAATATGCATACAATGTGTTAATAACTGTTAGAAAGTTATTCTGAAAATCCAAGGGGTGTGCATTGTTCCCTGTAGTCCTTGTATCGAATATGAGGCTAACTTAACAGCGGTCAGTGACAAGTTTTCTTCATCTTCTACCAAAGCAAATAGCCAATCGTAGACAATAATTAAAAAAAAACAAAGGAGCGGAGATATTAGCCACTGTTCCCGCCCCCAAAGTGTCACAATTCATCCTATCCAGCGAGCGAGTGCTGTGCAGACGCGNAAAAAAAAACAAAGGAGCGGAGATATTAGCCACTGTTCCCGCCCCCAAAGTGTCACAATTCATCCTATCCAGCGAGCGAGTGCTGTGCAGACGCGAGCGCGTAGATAGGGTCCAGCGAAGGCGAGCGCGTAGAGAGGATGGGTTTTCAGCTCGCGAGCGCATACACGCGCGTGGTTCGACTTCTGGCACTAATTTAACGCCGAGTGAGCGAGCGAGTGCTGTGCAAACGCGAGCGCGTAGAGAGCATGGATTTTCTGCTTGCGAGCGCATGCGCGCGCGAGTTTTGGCACTAATTTAACGCCATATTTGACGCGCGCGGACACGCACGCCGTCGCCAGCGCATATAAACACAAATGCGCATGACAGCTGTCTCCCGGGAAAACCCTTCCTGAGAGTTGGCGCCGAGCCAGCCGGCCTGGAATTGGCTGGAGCTGGTCATGTGACTCTCCGGCCAACCGGGAGCAAAGGCATTGGGCTGCACACAGACGAAGTTTACGAGTATAATTAACCCAGCAGCCCAGTTACCGTTTTGAAGTCGTTTTGATCCGTTTTGTCGTTTTGCTTTCGTTTGATAAGATTAGAACATTAAGAGTGTAATGTATGACCCAGCGGTACTGAATCAAAACTGAAGTGTGTCCCCTGGATGATGGCAGCGTCTTCAAGCCATCAGGACCTGGGCGGGAAACGCCACTGATGGCGGTCACGTGACTGAGACGTACCTTCAACTAGTCTACAGGACAGATGAGTGCAAAACGTTAAAAAAGGCCACAGCTGAGGGGTAAATGGGAAGTAAAAACTAAATAAAAGCTCACTCTTTACAAAAGATACCAAAACGAAAAACAAAACATACTTTTAATTTGGCACAAAATATACTGCACGCATCAGAAAGAATAATTAGCCTCAGAGCTACCTGGCATATACGAAGCCTACATTCCATTGTCTACATGGTCGATTTCAGATACTGTTTGCAGAATGACAAACAATAAACAGATCTAGTCCCTAACATATGCAGTATATTTTGACGCATATTAAAAATACACTCCTTCGTTTTCTGGATTTTATATTTCAACAGTTTATTTGATAACAGTTGTCGATGCAGCCCACTACCTTTGATTTGATATTATATATTATCCCTGACGTGTGCCGAGGGATGATGTTATGAGCACCTTGACTTTGCCCTTTGCCCGTGTTTGTGTGTGTGTGCATGGTTCCCTGTGCATGGTTCCCCGTGCGGTTCCGCTGGCTCAGAGGCGTGTCTGAGCCTCAGGGATGTAGATCTCGATGCTGTCGGCACTCTCGGTGGCCGAGCTCTGCCTGGCTGAGGCGGCGCGCTTGGCCGCCATCAGCCTCTTGCGTGCTTCCTGCCGCTGCCTCTCCGTGCTCTCCAGGGACCGGTCCCTCGCCATGGGCAGGGGCCCCTTTGGGGGTTTCCTGGGCACCACGGGGGCCACCCTCCTGGCCTGCATGGGTGGAGATATAACAGCCAGTCATGCATCTGGAAGTGAGAGAGGAAGGCTCATGGGAGCTTTACTTACACAAAAATGTTCTGAGGGCAGAACGAAAAATGATTAGATGGTTTAGAGCAGGGATGCTCAACTCCAGCCCTGGAGGGCCAGAGCCCTGCACATTATTGGGTTTCCCCTCATTTAACACACCTGATTCAACTCCTTGTGGTAATTACCACACAGCTCTTGAGCTGAATCATTTATGGTGGAACAGGGAAAGAACTAAGCTACACAGGGCTCCGGCCCCCCAGGACTGGAGTTGGGCACCCCTGGTTTAGAGAGATAACTAATAAGATTATACATTGAAAGTGGGACCAACTAACCAGATGTCTTGGTCCCACCTCCTCTAGTTGCTTGGACCCACCTACAATCTGATTGGTTATTTCTGTGAACCAATCATTTTTTGTTCGGCCCTCAGTCCATATAAGTAGAACTCCCACAAGGTAGGGTGGGTTAACTTGTGAAATTTAAAGGTGGTGGCAACCGTGAGTAGATTGTGTGTGTGGGAGGGGAGGGGGGGGGGGGGGTGGCTGCCAAATACTCCTCAAAACCCCCCCTTACTGTCAACGGAAAAATAAAATGTAGAGCCAAGCCCTGGGATTGGACAGAGTTGGTCATGTGACTCCAGAAAGCACAAACAAAAGAGTAACAACAAAGATGATGACAATGAACATGGACATGTCCCTATGTGACCCCCCTGCAAAGACGATGTATGGCATAAATTCATTTGAAGTTGTGTAGGATGGTGTGGCTTGTAACGCTGTGCGTGCAGTATGTAGCAGGACGGACTCGTGTGCTACTCCTGCACAGGAAACCTGACTGTGACTCATCGGCACTCCCAATCAGCCTGTTCCACCCAAAGCAGGAAGAGGTAGGCTTTTATCTTAGGCAGTTGGATTTTTGGGATGGCAAGATAACTTAGTCTTGGCTAAATGTTAGTGCATTTAATAAACTGTTACCTTAAATCTGACAAATTATCTGGCTAGGCAAGAAATCCTGCTTTGTGATACAGGCCTCTGTTCAGCTAGACTTTAGGTCAACCTCAGCTCATAATTACTCTGCTGAAGGAAGGTCACCTCTGCCTGCATTTAAAATGCCAGGCAGGCAGTAATTACTGTGGAAATTAACACACCTGTTGGACATCAGACCAAAAATACCAGGCTGGGGCATTAAGAAGTAGACAAGCTGACTGAGTCTTTACAGTCAATATGTGTAGGTGGCGGGGGGCAGGAGAAAGGGGCACGTGCTTTACCTTCCTCTCTGGGACCGCCAGAGGCTTCCATTTGTTGGCTTTGAGCTGGTGCAGCTCGTCGAACTTGAGGCTGATATTCTCGATGGATAGCTGAAGCATATCCCAGAAGCCGGCCAGGTCCTGTGAGATGGGCCTCGGATTGGCGTTGGGGTTCTGGGTTAAGGCAGGTGCGGGGGGGACAGATTCAGAGGTTCAATCAGCCATTATGAGTCGCACATTTCACTATGGGCTGTGGGAGGAGCCTAGCATCACTGTGTATGTGCTGTGGGAGGAGCCTCATATCACACTGTATGGGCTGTGGGACGAGCCTAACATCACTGTGTATGGGCTGTGGGAGGAGCCTCATATCACACTGTATGGGCTGTGGGAGAAGCCTGACATCACACTGTATGGGCTGTGGGAGGAGCCTAACATCACTGTGTATGGGCTGTGGGAGGAGCCTCACATCACACTGTATGGGCTGTGGGAGGAGCCTCACATCACACTGTACGGGCTGAGGGAGGAGCCTCACATCACACTGTATGGTCTGTGGGAGGAGACTCACATCACACTGTATGGTCTGTGGGAGAAGCCTCACATCACACTGTATGGGCTGTGGGAGGAGCCTCACATCACACTGTATGGTCTGTGGGAGGAGACTCACATCACACTGTATGGTCTGTGGGAGGAGACTCACATCACACTGTATGGTCTGTGGGAGGAGCCTCACATCACACTGTATGGTCTGTGGGAGGAGCCTCACATCACACTGTATGGGCTGTGGGAGGAGCCTCACATCACACTGTATGGGCTGTGGGAGAATCCTCACATCACTCTCTAAGGTAGGGCTGCCCAACCCTGCTCCTGGAGAGCTACCACCCTGCAGCGTATACGATCAGCCCTAATTTAACACACCTGATACAGATAATCAGGCCCTTCAGTTATATCTCAGTATGACAGCCAGCTTAACTTCAACATAGCTGACTCTAATACTGAGGTGATATTGAAGTGCCTGATTACCTGTATCAGGTGTTTTACATTAGGGCTGTACCTAAGCTCTCTAGGATCAGGGTTGGGCAGCCCTGCTCTAAGTGATGTGGGTGGAACCTCCAATCCTTCTCTAAAGCCCATGGGGTGAGCCTCAAATTACTTTCAATGGGCTGTCGGTGGAGCCTCACGACTATCTCCCTACGTGCTGTGGGTGGAGCCTGACATCTCTCTCTATGTGCTGTGGGTGGAGCCTCACATCTCTCTCTATGTGCTGTGGGTGGAGCCTCACATTGCCCTGTGTCCCAGGGGTGGAGCCTCACATCTCTCTCTCTANGAGCCTCACATCTCTCTCTATGTGCTGTGGGTGGAGCCTCACATTGCCCTGTGTCCCAGGGGTGGAGCCTCACATCTCTCTCTCTACGTGCTGTGGGTGGAGCCTCACATCTCTCTCTTTACATGCTGTGGGTGGAGCCTCACATCTCTCTCTACGTGCTGTGGGTGGAGCCTCACATCTCTCTCTCTCTACGTGCTGTGGGTGGAGCCTTACATCTCTCTCTAAGTGCTGTGGGTGGAGCCTCACATCTCTCTCTACGTGCTGTGGGTGGAGCCTCCCTATTGATTATTAGCATATCGACACACAGCTCACCAGGTTCTCCTCACAGAGCTCTCGGAATTGCTGGAACTTCTGTGACATGAGCAGCTGGGCACTGCCCACCGCACTCCGGATCTTTCCCAGGACTGGCAACGACAAACAGATGCACATTAACAGAGGCAGACACCCACACACAGACAAAAGAAATGGGATCAGACAGGGGACCATGCTGGCTAACATCTATAACATAGTTTACAATACTGACTTTCTGAGTCAGTATTAATGTGTTAACTATGTAAAGAGATGATTAATTCTTATATCATCAGAGAAAGATAATCACACATTACTAAACTCATCATTAAGAAATATGAATGGATATGGGGGAGGCACTGTAATGATGCATAACTGAGCTGTGGGGGTGGGGGTGTGTGTATGGGGCGGTTGTTCTAAGCAATCCATTAAGACTGACATTACCAGGAAGACGGGCTAAATGGAGGGGGTGTGTTTCTGAAACACGATCACTGGGGTTATGGGTAGGATTTCCCATAGATGCATGCACGTGTGGGTGTGTGTGGGTGTGTGGCCGTGTGTGTGGGTGTGTGTCTGGGCGTGTTGCCTAGCGAAAGAGAACCTTTAAAAGCTTTTGCTGCGACATTACAGACGAATACTGTAGGAAAGTTTAAGTGGAAACAGATCGCCGCCAAAATGGAGGTTGTGGTGTGTGTGTGCGTGTGCGTGTGTGTGTGTGTGTGTGCGCGCATGTGTGCTTTTGATTGCATGCCTCTCACACGTAAATTTTTGAATCTCTGTATGTGACACTTGCAGTCATTTTCTCTTCATTTGCGTCTGACTGCAGGCCAGGGTTCAGGCATTGGCGGGGAGACCGTTGGCGGACAAAGGCGGCAGGTTGAGAGGGTCGGATATCAGCAGGGGGCAGAGACGCCGCAGATACCCTCCCCTCACCAGTGGGGGGGGGGGGGTGTCTGTCCATTGCCATAAACAGCACTAACCAGGAGGTCGAGCTGAGAGGTCGAGAATAATGGGTATCGGTGACCTCATCGTTTCACAGTGTCAGAAGCGGGATCTCAGTTACGGCACTCCCAGAGACTTTTGATGGAGAGATTTGCTATGAGACAGGGACTGCTAATCAGTCTGGGTGCGTCGACTTTCTCTTGGGCTGAGCAGTACTGATGCCTTTTAGGTAGAGCTAAAAGCTAATGGCTTGTTCAGGTAATAACTGTCAATGGTCCAATGGAGAATGTGTTGTGATAGGAAGACAAAAACATACATATATATATGTATGTGTGTGTGTGTAAAATGGTGATGTCACGATGGGCGTGTCGTGTCATCATCAGGGGACACTGACTCTCATCTGGCAGGTCATTCTCCAGCTCCTCCTGCTGCATCTGGCGGCACCAGCCCTCCATTCGCTCTGTCTCCGCCCGCAGCAGCTTTAGGAACCAGTGTCCGTCCCGCTGGCATACATAGGCCTGTGTGGCCTCGCTGGGGTCGTCCTCCACTGCGTCGATCCAGGGGTCCGGCGGCGGCAGGATGGACGGGTCGAAGCCCACGTCGCTGTCGTCATGGCCGGCAGCTGCAGGGTAGTCGTCGTCCGCACAGGGGTGGTAGTGGTTTCCTGAGCCCTGGATGCTCACCGTGGAGGTGCCGGCATCACGGGATCGCTGCCGGGGGATGGGGCCTGACGAGGGCGGTCCTGCCACTGGGGTGTCCACCAGCCCGCTCAGCGCCTCCAGGTGGTCCAGGTCGGCCTGTACAGCTGTGGTCACGCTGTCGGAGCGCGTCAGCCGCCGATAGCTGCTGGACACAGTGGGCACTATTAGTTATCTTTGCTAACATGCTAGCTCGCTAGTGTGCTAACGCACTAATATACTACAGTGCTAACATGCTAATGTGCTAACACCGAGCCTGCCTTTTTTCTGCCTGCGGTTCCACTCATTCTACTAAATAAAAAGCCCCTGCGGCAATGAACGCTCTGCGGCCTGGGTTCAAATCCCCACATCCTCCATCCGTGCTGGAAGTAGGTGACAGATCACACGACTGAGGCCCCGACTGGGAGTGTCCCAGCAAAGGCAGACAAGCACGCACACATACACACATCACTCTTAGCTGGGGGTTAAGTTATGCTCAGGACCTCTGAAGGGCTGTCACTGTACCCCCACACACACACATGCACAGACTGTGACTCCCTGCTAGCTGTGAGGAGGTCTTTCCCTGGGAGGGGAGGGGAGGGGGGGCTTTATGACACATCTGTTCTGAGTCAAGGCCGCGCAGAACACCGGGCGCGCTCAGTTCCCCAAACACACACACACACGCACACACACAGCTGACAGGAGGCAGCTGGTAACGCTGTCTGTGATCACTGGGCTTGTTAGCGCTGGTGTGTAACGGCTAGCGGGGGCTGTTCATAGCTTCCTGGCAGACTGGTGTTAACCTCACATGTGACTCCACTGTCCTTAAAGACGCTTTTCTCATGTCTTGTCCCTGATGGTGGGGAGGGGGCTGAACAGAGTCAGCGGGCAGCTGGGCCACTGGGATCAATCTGGACAAAGTGGAGCATCAAAGTATTCTAGCTAGAACATTCCATACCCCTGGTCAGATAACGGAACCAGACTGAAAGTCTAGGAACCACAACCGCCCCTAAACATCAGGGATATGGATTCATCCAGAAACATACTGAGCCTGCGATGCGGACGACAGCACAAGACCAGGAGTAGAATGACCACCTAACAGGGGAACCAGCACAGGGAGAACCCCCCCCCCCCCCCCCCCCCACTATCTGCCTCACTATCCTCCAGCCAATCAGAGAGCAGCAAATGTCCTCCCGACGTGGTACTCATCTTAAATTATCTGCCTTCCCCCCCACCCCCCAAAAAAGTGACTACCACCTCCATCCTCAGGCACTTTCCTGTCCTACAACATGCTCTTCTCTTCTTGTTGTTGGCATGTTCACCTTCAGTGCATCTTCTGTGTAGCATTTTCTATGCATGCGTGTACTTTCACTATTCACTATATATCACAAGGCCCCAAGGCAGGTGGGCCGCACGCTCACCAGCGCTCCTCCACCTGGATCCCCACCGACTGGAACCGGCAGTGCTCCCCTGCACCCAGGGTGTCGTCAGGGCTGTCCACCTGCGGGGGGGGGTGGGGGGGGCTGGTGACTGACTGACACCGACTGTGTGGTGGCTGTGACGCTACATTGAGTTTACCTTTGCTAACGGCCTTCGATAACAGAATGTTCAATTCGGAAAAGTCAGAAATGCGAAGACCATGAAGTTCACCAGATTTAACCAGCAAGCGGTCTTGTGGTTTTTGTTTACCCTCGTTCAGAGTGAGATGACGCCTGAAGACGACTGTACTTCGCTCAATGTTACCTTAACATAACATAATTATACACTACACTGGGTTTTCTGCTTTCAGATAGTACACATGTAGCTTCCATTTTCTCCTTTAATAACATGCAACTGGAAAAATGGTTAAAATGTATATTTATAAATTTAAAGATTTATATTTTTTGATGTCTGATATGTAGCCTAGATATTGAAACTACAGTAAAAGGTGTCAGTTTTGAAATATTGCTGGTATGATGTCAGTATGACTATCAACAAGTCTTTTACTTCTCCATTTTTGCTGGGAACCGCTGACCTCGCGTGTGGAAAATAGGCACTAGGCCGAGACTCCAGACGAGGCGTCGCTGCCGTCAGGCGTGAGCTGCGTCTGACATAAAGCCTCACATAGGCAGTTTGGCTGCTCTGAGCTGTTAACTTGGGCACGTTCTGCAGCCGCTGACTGAATTCCCATCTCCATGCTCACTGCATTCCAATCCAGTCACTGTATTCCAATCCAGTCACTGTATTCCAATCTAGTCACTGTATTCCAATCCAGTCATTGTATTCCAATCCCATGAAGGCCATGTCGCAGACCCCTCCCCCGCCCCACCCCAGGCCCCGCCCCTACCTGGATCCCGATGGAGAGGCACTGGCTTCGCCGCAGCGCGTCCTTCTTGCCGTCCTCGCTGAGCTGCGTGACGGTGGACGCCGTGGCGGTGATGGTGACGGTGCTGCTGCTGACGTGCTGGCTGGGCGGGCCGTGCACCTGCGCGTTGGCCGCCTCAATGGCCGCCGTCAGTGCCTTCATGCTGTCTATGCTCTCCGTGGAGTCGCTGAGGCGTGACTGGCTGTCGGCGCGCCCCCCTGACCGTTCGCCGTAGGCGTCCTGCGCCGACTCGGTGCTGCTCTGCGTGGTGATGGAGATGAAGGGCTTGGTGGCGGTGGCGGCGGTGCGAGGGGGCACCGGGGGCGGGGTCTTCTTGTAGGTGGTGATGCATGATGACACTGAGGAGGCAGGGCAAAGCACATCTCAGGGGATTGTGGGATATGCTGGGAGGACTGGATAACAGTAGGAGACGCGGACGAGGTAAAACCAGTCTGGGGTGTAGTCAAGAAATGTCTCCCCCCCCTCCCAAAAAAATACACACTTGGACCTCGAGGGGGAGATGAATGGATAAAACTTTACAGCCAATAAAGGAGCGGAATTTCAGGATACGATTCATGATTCATGTGAAAAGTCTGCTGAAAATAGACCCCCTTTAATATCTATATAAACTTTATACATACTGTGATGTACAGAAAAACTTTTTTGCACAGTGACAGGGGCGGGGTATTCAGGGGACCAATCAGCTTTCAGCTGAGGTCAGTGGCCCTATGTCTGCACCTCGGACCCCCCCCCCCCCGACAGAGCTTGTGTATTCATTCCACACGAGGCCGAGCCCCAAGCCCCGCCCAGGACCTCCCACAAGGGGCGTTCGTTTGCTGGCAGCTGTTTAACGGGGCTTTGGGAGATCAAACGCGAAACGGGAGACGATAACGTCTGCCGCCACCCCTCAGAGCAGTCTGGGAAGGTGGGGGGGGGGCTCTCGCTTACCAGGGGCTGAAAAACATCTCACCCGTGTGATTACCTTACCGCGGGTGACACTCACTTCCTGTCGCCCCCGGGGCTTGGCCCTTGGCCTGCATGCATCGGGGCCTCACGAGCCCATGGGTTTTTACAAGGGTAAACACATGAGGGCCCTGCAGGTACATGTGAGTTTTGCTCCTGGCCAGCAGGCGGCGCAGTGGTTAAGGAACTGCAGCCGTGAGCCGAACTGTTCCAACAAGGGGGATTTCGTTGATCCCTAGGAGGGCCTTAAATGCAGAATAGAAATAGAGAGTAAGGAATGTGGGTGATCGAATTGCAAGGGATCCACAAATCAGACAATGACAAATACTCACTGAAAACCTGAGGACCCTGATGAGGAAGAAATCTGCTCTGGCAGAACCTGGGATAGTCGATAATATCATCTAACTATCTGGCCTGAAGACTAGTTAGATAAGTTAATAAGATTATGATTAGTTAATCTAGTGAATCAGATAGGTGGGGGAGTAAA